TGAATAAAGTCAAAGCTTGACAGCTTAACACCAACATAAGGGTGCCACAGCTTCTCCTCTGCACTAACTCTAGCTGTCTGTGCCTTCAATGGTGTAAATTAATCTTGATTCTTATCATGGGTGGGTGGCTGTGCGTGTTTTGTACCCCTAGCCTGGCAGCAGCTGCTACCTCTAGCCTTCAAACAAACCAGGGCAACTTGGGGGCCAGCTCATTTTATAGAGTCACTAGAAACCAAATGATTTATCCCCACAAGTCGTCCTACCCGCACTGCGTCTGTGCTTCCAGAGCTGGGACATTGGAACAACAGGCACATATTCTTGCCTGGTGCCACATGGCATTAAGCCCTCGTGTGTAATCAGTACAGAAAAGTGAATTCTTCTCCAGCAGGGAGGGTAGAGCCAAGCCACGCCGCTGATGTTATTTCAGCAGGCAGGAAGGGCTCCCCAGGACCGGTCTGCCCTCTCTACTTCTAGTCTGAGCCAGTGTGACTCCAGAACTGAACATGTGACTTCAGACCAACATGGCTGGGTACAATCTGTTCCTAGGAGAGGCATGAGGAGGACTGGGGTGGGGTGGGACTGATGTGAACACAAGGTTTAGAAACACAGACCACATCCTCCCTTGATCCCTGCTCAGGATGAGCCCAGAGGCATGTCCGCAAGCCAAGATACCAGGAGGTTGCATTGTGGGTTTCCAATACAAATAACTTGTCACGTGACCCACTTGTAGTAGGAAAATGGAATCCTAGGGCTAAACTCATCCCTGTACTGGTGCAGGGACTGAGAAAGGGATGGGCCAGTACAGTAAGTTAAAGCAGTCATACTCTGTGCCCAGTTGCACAAGTCCCCTATGGGCCTTGTAACAGCTGGAGAATAGCTCTCCCAGCCCTACCACTTAGAATCCCTGCCTCCGTCCAGTATGCATCTGACACAGGGGGCTTTACAGGGGAAAAGCAGAGCAGGCTCTGCATCTGACACCGAAGACTGCAGCAGGAGGCTCTGTGGCTGCTTTGCAGCCCCTGTGGACCAGCATATCCCAAGGGAACAGCAATTTGGACCCCTAGACTTGCTAGGCCTGGAACGGGCCCATAGTAGGTCTGACTCCTGGATCAAAATTCAGGAGCAGGATTTTCACAGTGGCAAAAGAGCTTTAGGGAAAATTCACAAGCTCTTCCAGTAGGATCCAGTGAGTCTGCAGGATATTTCATACTGGGCAAACCAGAAGGGTTTCCAGCTAGGCACTGTTCAGCATAACTCACCTGCTTCATTTCCTCTCAAAGGTGTGTGGGTTTGGGTTAATGCTGACTAGCTCACAACTAACGAAGATAATAGCTTACCTGTAAACAAACTACTGCTTATGAAAACAAACTTTATCAGGCATCTTTCTCTGACATTGTTGGGATTCTTTCCAAAGGGCGGTACTTTTCATTTGTTCATATTATTTTGTTTGCTTCCTTTAAAAGCCCTCCACAAAATAGAGCAGAAAAAGAGGTAGGGAGCTGGAGCGATTGGTGGGGATTGCAGGAAAAACACTTTTAAAAGAAAGATGGTCCCAACCCAAAATCCTAGCTCCTAATCCCCTCCCCAAATTTTGGATTGATTAGAAACCTTGCTCTGAATATTGTAGCCTGCACCCTTCTTTAGGTTTTTAAAACACCATGGCACAGCGGTTTACCAATATTTAAGCATGTTCCAACCAGCAGTGCAGGGTCTAAGTGTCATTTGTAAAAGTGACAATGGCTACATACCTTTGAAAAATCTGGGCCTATTTGCATTATATTGACCTTTAAAAGGAATGTCAATGGCTTAATTTCACTGCCAGGGTAGCTGTCTTATCTCTGGCCTGTGACTTTATGTAAATATTGCACAGGTTGACATAGGTACTGGTAGGCTGTACTACTTTTATCTGTTACGTTTCCTGCTGGGAATAAGGATACTTGATTTATACACCCCACTGAATCTTAAAAATGCACAAACTTGAGAACAAGACTTCCCTGTGAGCAAACTGTAAACTAACGTGCAGAAAGTGGCACTTGTATGCTGCTGGGTGGCATATCCACAAAATACCACCTTGGCTGATCATTTGGGGCCCACTTCTACTTTTGTCAGAAGACAGACATTTTAACTGATTCCCAGGGCACCAATGGCAGGATGCCCACTGGCCAAATTTTTGCAAACGTGGTCATGGATTGTGAGTGCCCAACTGTGCCTGATTTCCAGAGGTGAAGCCCATAGGACATTCAGCAGCTCAGTCCCTTTGAAAATCAGGACCAATGTTTTAAAGGAGAAAATGTTCAAAAGGGGCCAGCCCATTTAATTCCTTTTGATGGGCAAAACACACAGTAAAATGAGGTGAGAGACTCTTGCTCTCCGTATCTTTTTGGTTCTTCTAGTTCAATACTTTTAATAAATTCATTAATTACACTTATAGTCTGAGGAGTAAACTACAAGAAAATATGAATGGTGGAGTGGAGGTTGGTGATGGAAGGCTAGCTAAAAAAGCAAGTTTGGAGCAAAGCCTGGGTGGCAGAACAAACAGACAGATGAAGTTTTAGGTCTGTAGGGATTGGGATGGGTGGCAGTGAACAAAAAAGGTTGCAGAGAAAAGCGGAGGAGTTTGTGGGAGGAGAGCACCATCGGAGCAAAAATGTCTGGAGCATTCACTGAACAAAGCCACTGTAGGTGGCCAGAAAGACACGGGAAATGATGTGCACATTGAAGACAAGGATGTATCATCTGGTATAGAGGGGCATGCAGGCCTCATTCCAGCCATCTTCTACTCTAGGAACTCTTTAACATTGCATTTCTGGTACTAATAAGGTCATGCATCAGTTATTATGGGAGACACTATTTCCCCTCCAACAAATGTGGCTGCCTAAGGCTACGGGAAGAGCTGCTCAGGCTTATAAATGTTCACATTAGAGCAGCAGAAGATCCCAGGAAGCCTAAGGGGATCAATGCGACAGGTATAACTTATGACTTTCAGCTCTGTGAGATGTGCATTAGCTTGAAGAGTAGTCCAACATCTGTTTACCATGCTCTCCCTGCACCCCACTTCTTGGATGGGGGAGAGGGTGGCAAGGGAAAGCCAGAAGTTGAGTAAATTTTTTAAATGCCTCTTTTACATTTGGGAGGTGGAGTCTCAAATTCCCATAACCTGAGCAAAGTAACAGAGCCTCACCATAACAGATGCTTTTTCTGTAATAAAAGTTGAAATATCCATTGATGGTCTGAGCTTGTAAATCTGAAGCAATCTTTTCATTGCTACTACCACCATTTCTGTTCAGCTCTCTTTTAGAGTGAGTTGCAGCATTTTGTACAAGAAGCCAGGCCACAGCAATTCAAGGAGCTTACAATAATAGAGGCAAGGCCTAGGAACATATAGACAGGGTATCAGAGAACCCTCCAGGGAAAGAGAGCAAACAAACCTAACTCAAGGCTGACAAGGGGAGAAAAATCTTCCCCTGGTGACCTAATTAAAACATGGAAGAGTCTTCCAAGGACTTGGTTGGCACTAATGAGTTCTATAGGAGTGGAAGGGAATTCCTGGGTCAAAGTCCAGCATGCTGCTATTGCAGGCAGCCTCCTCAGACAGTCCAGGCTGGCACTCTTAAATAAAAAGGAAGTGCCCAGAGTAGTGTTCAACCCTGAATTGGTAAGGGGGCTGGAGCAGGCAGGCCCCAACCAGCTTTTTAAGGGTCTCACGTCTATGCCACAGGAACTGGCTTTTGCTATTCTAATAACATGGGCTATGCATGACTGCTGTCATGGCTCAGAAGTGGTCTAAGGTCCTGGTCTCCAGATTAATTAAAAAAAAAAGTTTCTGGGCTCCTGGGTAGTTAAAATGGTGATACACTATATAACCAGAGAATTATAGTTTACTTGTGTAGAATAAGTGACGGAGTAACTGAAGAATAGCTGGGGGGGGAAGGGGGAAATTTGTTTGCAGCCCCCTTTTTGTTGAAATTTCACCTCCACTTTCTAGGAGCAGGAAAGTTACAGGAGGTGTGGCATAGCAGCCTACCACTGGCCAGCACCCTCACAGGAGAATGTGGGTTCTGACAGGTCCCTACCTGTGCTCCTGTCAGTTTGGAGGGGCAGGCGTTGCCCTTGTCTCAACTGTGACATTGTGTAACGCATGTTTCTCTCCAGCACAAAGGTCATCTGAGTGTAACACCAACCCACGGTTCTAACTGTACAAAAGTTTGTGCTGTAGAGTGGAGATTTGAAAGTCCAGAACTGTAGTTGTCCTGCTCACCAGCTCAGCCTTGCAGGATCTTCTGTAGCGCTGACGTGATCACCCAGAAGCACGAGCAACTCTTCCTCTAGCCTCAGGCAGCTATATCCACTGAAGGGAAAATATTGTCTTCCATAGTAACTGATGTAAAACTCATGTGGGACATTCCTGGAAGAATGCTATGTGTCCAATGATTAGTTAGAGTTGACTATGTTGCCCCTAGATACATGCATTATTGCAAGTTTTGCCAAGTCGGGGCAAGGCTTCATTGGATCTATTCATGAGCAATGAGCCAAAGCAATTAACCTATAAAAATGTAAAAAGTGTATTGTAGGCAATGAACTTGGAGAGGAAGCCAAGCCCATAGCAGAGAAAGATTTAGCCTGAGTGGTAGCTACTGCATCTCTGTAGTCTAATGTGCTAGAATAACTGACCATATAAAGGTCAGTTCAGAAGTTGAATCAAGTTTTGCTCTGGCCACCGTCCAACACAACCCTGCTCACTTTAGTGGGTTGCACTTAATCTCACAGCAAGACCAGTAACCGCTGCCATATTCTAGAAATGGACGTAAATACCCCATTAATCTAGAACCTAAAAAGTTCCACTACCACTCAAGTGCAGAGGTAACAGGTTCCTTATTGGCTCAACTGCTCTGGATTGAGAGGACATTTAAGAATAAAACTTGTTCTTCCTACCCTCCCAACTGTTGAAACATACTGTCTTTTTAAAAGAGGAAATCCACAATATATAGTCGTTTGGCCATTTAAAATAGTTTATTACCAAAATAAAAAACCTCTAAGATAAAAGGGGCATAACCTAAAAGCACACAAGGCGTCAGCAGTAGTTTGCTCATACAGCTGGATATAATAAACCAGAGGTCAGATAAAAGGTCATGAAAGCAAAACAACAACATCATCAACTTCTACTCATCTGTATTTTCCCCCCTCATATTGGGCAGCAGTTCTGAATCGGCTACCTACACAAGTTCGATTGCCTGAAAGGTGACTGGCAGAGCAGCATCAAGCACGCTTACTTCTCACTCCTATCTGGGCTAAAATATCCAGGTCCTGATCACACTAGCAGTTGCACATGCATCGCTCCCATTGGCTTCAGGAGGTATGTGCATGTGCCCAATGAAATGATCAGGTCCCAGAAAGCTTTGAATAAATGTTGAATAATAAAAACAAAAAATCTAACACCCACCCACCCCTGAGCCAAATCCTGCCATCCTGTCTTTCCCAGATTGGCTACCTCCACACCCTTCTCCCTCCCCCCACACCAAACCACATGCCAGGAGTTCATGGTTTCCAAACAGTGAACATTTAGGGGAGCAAATGCAATAAAACATTTAAGGGAATGTTTCCATCCATATACTTATTCCCATTACATATAAATAATTATACACACTATATACACATGTGATGTCTATTTAGCATGAAGCTTTGAATAATTTTAATGGCAGTATTAATTCAGGCCAGTCTTCCTGAGGCCCTGGAGGGGTAGAAATCAAACTGTGAAGATGCTCATTTTCATGCTGCTGGTTCAGAGTGTGCAGAATTAATCTGTGTGCCTAGAACCCTGTTCCAAGGCTTTGCTGCGTTCACCCAAATAGTTTGTCCCACTTTGCTTAAGAGGAAGGACAGAAGTTCCTGTATTCATAGCATAAAAACATAGGTGAATTTGCACAAAGTGTTGGATTGTTTATTCCTTCAGTAGGCCAAGTTTTTTCAGAGCCTCCCGGCGGTTTTCATCTTTTGCTCCTTTAGGGGTGATTTTTACACTGACACAAGTAGGCCGGGGAAACTTCAGCAACGGGTAAGATTTGCGCTTGTCACCTTTCCCCAGCTCCTTATCATCAGTTTTGGATGCTTTGAATTCAATAAAGTCTTCCCTTGTGCCAAGGGAAGCTGGGCGTGTTCGGTTATTCCTAAGAACACTGAGAGCCATCATCTTAGAGATGGATGTTTTGCCAAGCGAGCTACTGTCCATGTTCTGGTCCTCCCTGCTCAGACCTATGCCTGAATGCTCCAAGGAGTTGGATTTGATTGTCTGGCTCAAGCCAGGAGCCGCACGCTCTGCTGGATTTAAACCTGGAGCATGATCAGGTTTCTCATTCATAGGAGCATCAGTTCCATCATCACTGTTTAAGTTATCCCTACTACCAGCCCTAGGAATGAGGACAGGGTTTGGTTTGGGAGCAGTAGGAGGTCTGACAACATGGACTTTAGATTCCCTTCCTTTATCATGTAGGAGTCCCAACTTCTCCAGTGCCTCCCACCTGGCTCTTTCCTGCTTTTCCACAGAAGAGTCACTGGTGCTGGATTTGTACTTGGGTGAAGATGGAGAAGGCCCTTTTCTATTGTGATTAGGGTCGAAGAGTGGTGCTGGTCTGATTTTGCTAGGTTTAAGGATAATATTTGGTGGCAGTTTTCTTGGCTTTGGGGCTGTGGGAGGCCCTGGCTTGATGTTTGAATCCAGAGAAGCTTCTTTTGAGGGTAATTTCCCTTGGCTGCCTTGAGGATCAGTGGCTCTCTCTTGTCCCTTCTCACAATGTTTCTTCTCCTCTTTCAGAGGCAGCCTTGCATTCTCTGGAGCAGAAGGCTGTGGTGCAACTTCAGCCTCATTCCCCGTTGCTGCCTCAGGTAGTAGTTTGTCTTCACTGCCATTAGCAGATCCCTTGCTTCTGGGATCCTGGAAGGGTTCAGGGGGGTCTATAATTACAGACTCCAAGTCTGATGGCTTTATCTGAGTACTCACTCTGGGCTGGTGATTTGACGTGTCCTCAATCCCTCTTTCCTTGGGCATCTGCCACGAAGACTTCCCTGTCTCTTGAGCTGTTGGAGTTGGACCATCAGTGAGGTCAGTTGCTTTGCTGACAGAAACCTTGGTGGTGGTTGGTGCGCTTGCTGCGTTGACACTCCTTGGAAGGCTGCGGTAGCGTGAGCTTGTAACCACCCCTGGAGCAGAACTTGAGAGAAGCGATCCATGCTTATCACCCTTTTGTTCTACTTCATGTAGCTGACCAAAACTTTCAGTGAGAGACCCACTGTCCAAATCTAGACAAAAAGATAAGTGTTAAGTATGCACCTACATGCAGAGCATTGCATCAAGACCACCCACTAGTTATATACAGAGCTAGCCTTTTTAATAGGGCTGCCAATGAACAGAGCCAAGATACCCAACTTCAAAAAATTTATGAGGGGGATGTTAGCGCTAGGGAGGTGAATATATTTTCTTATTGCAAAGATATTAAGTTTGCGGTTAGTGACACACAGATTGCCTGATGAGTCCTAGTGTAAACAGCATATAGATATTTTGTCCTACACTTTTGCAGACTAGCTATTTACCTTTACCAGGACAACCGGCAGGCTCTTCTCCAAGGGTAATCTACACTAGGTGCATTGGAGACAGACAAACTTTAGTCCCTTCTCCCTACCCCAGCACAGATTTTTCTAGTCAGTTGTGCACTACCAGGTGTTTACTGTATGAGGGAAGCTGGGACAACATTCTGTCCCCTCTAAGATTTCCTGTGTCACAGGGCTTTCAGTCCGGGTCACAGAAGGCCCCGAGTTCTCTGGGGTTCAGAATGCAAGTTTTAACCTTACTTTTTGGAACAAAGTCTCTCTTTGGCCATGTTCTGGGGAGCTCAGAACGTTCAGCATAATCAGTCTCATCAGCAGAAACCCCACTGTCTGCTTCCGTATCCAGAGAATCAATAGTTTCTTCTAGGAACATCAAACATTCCTTTTCCTCGATAGATAGATAATCATAGCTGTTATCACTCTAAAAGAAAAAAACAAAACCACCAATGGGGAAATTAGGCATAATGCGGTTTACAATCGAATTTATAGTTTAAATGAAGCCAAGGACAGCTCTCTCCCACAGGATCTAACTGTTGAATACCCAGAAACTGCCGGTCTGCCAAGTGACAACAACTTAGCCACACTACCAGAAGCACTACTTAAGGGCAACCTCATTTGGGAGTATAATTAAACAGCTTCTGAGGATCTACCATTCCTGATCAAGCAATTAGAATTCTGCCCCCAGCAGCAGCCACTAACTTTCCTTTGAAGCATCAGTAATCCCGTAACACATTTGTCTGGCTAGTTGTACTGTAGACAGGCCACATTTGTATGGATCAGCCATACATATTGAGTTTTGGAAATGTGGCTAAGCATCCAGAAATTCAGAGGTCTTAAGAGTATGATGGCTGCTCTCCATGCTCTGTAACCCCCCATCTTTTATAGAATCATAGAATATAAGGGTTGGAAGGGACCCCAGAAGGTCATCTAGTCCAACCCCCTGCTTGAAGCAGGACCAATTCCCAGTTAAATCATCCCAGCCAGGGCTTTGTCAAGCCTGACCTTAAAAACCTCTAAGGAAGGAGATTCTACCACCTCCCTAGGTAACGCATTCCAGTGTTTCACCACCCTCTTAGTGAAAAAGTTTTTCCTAATATCCAATCTAAACCTCCCCCACTGCAGCTTGAGACCATTACTCCTCGTTCTGTCATCTGCTACCATTGAGAACAGTCTAGAGCCATCCTCTTTGGAACCCCCTTTCAGGTAGTTGAAAGCAGCTATCAAATCCCCCCTCATTCTTCTCTTCTGCAGGCTAAACAATCCCAGCTCCCTCAGCCTCTCCTCATAACTCATGTGTTCCAGACCCCGAATCATTTTTGTTGCCCTTCGCTGGACTCTCTCCAATTTATCCACATCCTTCTTGTAGTGTGGGGCCCAAAACTGGACACAGTACTCCAGATGAGGCCTCACCAATGTCGAATAGAGGGGAACGATCATGTCCCTCAATCTGCTTGCTATGCCCCTACTTATACATCCCAAAATGCCATTGGCCTTCTTGGCAACAAGGGCACACTGCTGACTCATATCCAACTTCTCGTCCACTGTCACCCCTAGGTCCTTTTCCGCAGAACTAAAACAAATTTTAGAAGCACTGTAGGATCCGTCTCAATCATCACTGGACCGTAAGCAACTCTTCTGCTGTGTCACATCAACATTAGTTTCAGGGCCAATGGAAGATGTTATTCAACTCTGCAATGCAGCTTTAGATGCCTATAAAACTGAAGGCATGGAAGGGAAAACATGTATTAACCATGACACACAAGCCTCCACCTCGAGGGGGGGGGGGGGGAGAATACTCCCTTATTTTAGAAAAAAGCATCAAGCTGGATCTGGTATCATAAAGCAACTAGTCTGTCCATCCCTCTTAGTTATACACAGGTCTATTTCTGGTGTGCAATAGCACGGAGGGTCTGTTCTGTACAGAACTGTAGTGAGTTCATTGCAATATGCTCCAAGTCAGAGAGGAGTAATTAGTCTCCCTAATCCTGAAATGTGTTTGATGCAAACTAGCACTAATGGATGGGTGCAAATGCAGGATTTTCACCATTTAATGGGCCAAATCAATCACTGGTTTCATTACTGACTTAGTTGGAATTAAATCTAAGTGGAGTGTGGTTTAATACACATCTCCTTTAGCTTAACTTGGAGTCAACTTTGTTATAGTTAGTCACACTTTGGTCCCGCTCAGGAGATCTAGCCAACTAGACTCCTCCTACGTACTGAGTGGAGTGCATGGGCCCGGCCCCCTGACACAACCCAGGCTGGATTCAGGGCTCTAGCAATTCAGAAGAGGCAAAATGATAGTCCCCACTGGCCAAGCCATTCTGAGCTACACAAAGTTGAGCACGTCAGCAAACACAACCAAGCCAACCTGCACATCAGTTGGGAGCAGGTGATCAGCTTGTTTTGTAAACTTATGTTTGCCACTGCATGGGTCTCTCACGACACTCTTCTATTGTACTACCAGCTGGGAGCTCCATAATGTATAACTCTTAAGCAATGCCATCGCAGTTCAACTGCCCAGGGTGCTTGACTGAGAGCAGCAGTGTTACGATTGCTTTGGAGCCAGAGAAGGAGTTTGGCATCACAATTCGGCTGTACTGATTCATGCCTGTGGTGATGAGTCTTTTTTATAGGACTGGGCTTCACTCTCTTTGCTTAGGCTTAGTGATAGCCTGTGTTTGTGCTGCACCATGGTTTGATTGCTGGAATATACCAGAGAAAGAGAATCAATGAAAAAACTGCAAACTCTTTGGGACAGGAACCATCCTTTTGTTCCATGTTTATACAGTAACTAATACAATGGGGTCTTGATCCATGACAGGGGCTTCTTTATGCTACCCCAGTACAAATATGTATTTAAAAAATTAGAACAGCACTTTCTGCCTATCTAGAATCCCTCCTTCAGAATTTACAGGGCCACCAGCTGCTAGCCCTGGAAAATAAAGGTTACTTAAAATGTTTACTTACAAATTCAGAGTGGCTTGAGATAGTGCTGACCATGCTGTCACAACTGCCAGAACCTTGACCAGCTGTCCCTAGCCACAAATCCTCTTTCGGCATATCACAAATCACCACGGCAAGAACTTCCAGGAGCAGGTGTAGAGTAGTTCCAACTCAAGCTGCAGAAAGAGCATGATTTGCTCAGTATTGCATTAGTTATGCTTGGAACTCACTCGCACCAAATCAGACACATCAGTTATATTTGCATTCAACTCTAGGGAAGCAATGAGGACTTCAGATTTGTTTGATGTGGCCATCCTTCTGTTCTGAAGAACTGTTCACAAGTTAGTGACTTTTTTTTAAAATAGTTATCTGGAAGACTCCAAGGCTCAATAGACCTGTAATAGGGTAAATGCCGTTGATTCAAATTGAGCCCATTTTGGTAGCGATCACAAGCTGTTGCTATCCACTGACAGTCTAGGGGGTCTCTGCAGCATGGGTAAGATAGTGATTAATTGGCAAGGGAAAAGAAAGCCAAAGAGCAAAAGCAATGCAATGGTTAGTTCTCAGCTCAGCTAGGCTCAGTTCACATGCTAGGATGCGATGAAGCAATTTCTGAAATTATGCTGACCACTTTGTCCTCGTCTCCACTTGCTGTTTTAAACAATTTTTAGTGCTGGTTCAACTGCATCCATTGGCAGAAGAGGGTAAAATTCATAGCATAGACAAGACTGAAAAAACATAGCCAAGGTATTTTGGAGAGTTTAACAGGTGGGGCTAAATCTTACCAGCCTGCTAACTAAACTGGTTAGCATATTTCTTTACCATAAGCTTCCTCTTTGCAAGGTGCTCGTTTTTTTCCACCCCACACCTAAATGATGCAAGTTTGTCAGCTGCCACAGGGAGAGGTGCTTGTTTACCTAAGTCATGAGTTTAGGTGGGTGTGTTCATGGCATAGCCTGTGTGAAGAAGAGCACCTCAGAGGTTCCTTGTTCTCACTGGAGAAAGACATATCAGTAATGCTAAGAGGAAAGGGTCTTGCTTTAGACAGCCCTAGGTTTGCTAAGGGTCTCCGTGAAACTGGATTCAGAGGCCCAGATGCACTCTAGTAACTCATTTAATGGGACTGTGGGTGTACTGAGAGCTTTGATTTAAAAAAAAAAAATTATGGAAGTTGAAATTCAGAGACACATGCAGATGTATTTTTCCTTGGATCAGTGAAATTCCAGTTACATACAAAACATTGAACTCTTCTTTCATCCTAGGATTTAAAGCACTATGCAAAGCAGGAGTGAATTATCCCCATTTTCCACATAGACAATCGGAAGCTAAACAACTTGCCAAAGTCCCACAGCAGGGCAGTAGCAGAGCTGAGAATGGAACACTGGCTTCTCTCCCTACTCTAGCCACTAGACCATGCTGCCTTGTGACCACACTCTCACAAGCTCAATAATTAAATCTGTGACCAGCCCTACATCATAAAATTGCCAACTCCACCCTCTACACATTCTAAAAGTCATCCAGCAGCTGATCAATATCGTTCCCTCCCATCATGGGCAACTGGTATTTAGACTAAGATCAGATCTCTAACCCACATTTGTTAGGACCATTACAGTCAATGTGGTGCAAATATTACCTATTTTGTGAATTATTGTATGACAAGCCCTCTAAGTCCAACGTGTCAAAATGACCACTGCAGAGAGAATGTCACGAGTAAAAGAAATAGCTAGGAAATTGTAACTGATGAATGCACAGCCCATATGCAATGGCTGCTTTTCTAGAGGTCACTTCTTCCCCCGATATACCAGCAGGTATTTGAATGTTTCTAGGCTAATATGTCTAAGATAGAGGCTAAACTCAAGTGTATTGTTATCTGTAATTAGCTCCCAAGAGACTTCCAGCTCCTTATACCTGATGGCAAGCTCAGACGAGAGGGTTGTTTTAAACATGTTGCTTTTAGAGAAGTTTGTATGTACAGTATCCAGTGACAACGCTTTATGGAGGCAGAGAAAGCGCCAAGTATTTCAGAAAATGTGAAGATATGAAATGGAGGTCAAATGTTGACCAAGAATGAGATGGCCTTTTATAGGCTTAACACTAGAATGCGCTGCTAAAGATTTAGGGTGTGTGATTAACTCAGGTTAACAAAGGCTAAAAGTTAGCTTAAAAAAGTGTAGTTATTTATAGCCATAAAATCTGAGACATGAAATATTAACATTGTGAAACACAGCTCAATGATACTGCATATTTTAAAAAAGTGATACATATTTTCCAGATGCATGCTGCCTATTCATCAAAGAGAGGAGAAGGGCTGGGCCACAAATACTGAATCCACTAAAAATACAACCAGCATTACCCATCAGAAGGGAAGGCAAAGCAATTCTTTGTAGCATAACCTGGTGGGGCTTTCAGCAGTGTGGCAGCTGGCTTTTTTTTATTATTATTAAATAAACAGCATCAGGAAGCCACATCTAGTAATACAGGATTAGTCAGACTGAGAATTTTTTTAAATCTTTCCTGAATAAAGATAGAGAATAAATTCCAATACACACCACAGGAGATACAATCCCTCAATGCATACAGCAGTCTTAATTTAAATGTTCGATTAAGTATTACTTTAAATAAACCACCACCGTTTGGTCTAGGAAAGCAGGTGGTGGGGGGGGGGGTTGTTTAAACAATACAGCCAGCTGTCCAACAGTTTGGCAATATGAGGACCAGGTTGAGCGTAAGGGCTCTTGGGACATCATGGGATCTATGACTTAGTAATGCTAACAATGCAAGAAGCCACATGCTAACATTAGTTTGAATGAGACCCACAAGTTTCCTTCAGTGGTACTTGTAAGCTCTTCATTAGTTCCCCACCCATAAATATTTAGGATTGAATTGGTTTTTGTGGGAAGTCAGTCTTACACTGACTTGCGTGATGGGTGAAACCTGAAGTGGCTAGTTCAAGCCAGCATCCTGTTTACAAGCGTTAGTCATCCACACAACAGAAACAATGCCCTGTGACCAGTTACACATCACAAACAAAATACAGGCTCTCCAAATTTGAGCACAAGAGCTTTAGGCTCAAAATGAAGAGGTACAAGTCACACTGTTTGTGAAGAAACCTAAATTCATCTAATTATTAGGAACAAAAAGTTCACCTGGATCTGTATCACAGCCACAAGTGTGGCATTTACAAAAATATACAACTAACCACCATACAGAGTTGCATGATTACTACACAAGGTATCATTTGTTCTTTAGGGCAAAGCTGGGGAAGAAAAGCATTCTAGACTACCAAAATATACACACATGCTTATGGGGCAGATCAAAGGTACCAAAAATGGAAAGATAATAATTTGAGTTTACCTTCTTGTTTCCGCGCCCCCCCCCCCATGATCTTCCATCATGAACTTCAACCCACTATAGCTGGTCAAAAAGTGACAAGAAAAATTGAGTGAGGTTTTTCCCCTTTTGCAAGGTTCAAAATAGTTATCAAAAACTTTCCCATCTACCAAAAAAAAAAAAAAAGTGCCAGCAAACTACATTTCAGTAACCATTTTGATTTTTAAAAACTACAAGGAACAAAATTTCAACAATGCCCAGCTTTTCTACTTTTTTTTGTTTGAGGAAAAAGCCATTTTTCCAACAAGAATCAAGTTTAACAAAAAAAAAAAAACCAAACCACACCCAAAAAACAAATAAATGCTGGTAGCTGGATTGCTACAACTGCCCTTCAAAGCTTTGACCCTCAGTCAGCAATGGGCTAGGCAACACTTAATTCTGTATGTCAAGGCAGCTTTTAATGCAACTACTAACACAAGTATTAGTGACACAGCTATTTGAGCAACACATTCATGTAGCTTTTTTTGGCTAGGGCAGAGCAAGTCCACAAAACATGCACTTTGCACACAGGTGCAAAGGACACGAGCCTGGTCAACAGACCACTTCCACAGGTACAAAAAAGTGTAACTAAAATTCTTGGTAACTAAAGTTGCAACTCCTTTAGTTCTACAACAGGATCAGAGGTATCAAGGCTCAAGCTGAAAGGAGATGAGAGCTACTGTCTTACCAATTCCCCTTGGTTACATAAATAGATCTAATTGATAAAAGCTTTTCTTGTTAGCTTCTAACTAGCATGGGAAACTGTATTAAGAACACCAAGTGCTTCTAAATTAGAAGAAATTAAAGACTTCCCACACACACACACACACCACCACTGATCATAAAACCATTTTAATTTTTAGGGTCTAGAAGCAAAAAATCCAGAGTAAAATCCTGACTTCATTCAAGTCAATGGGATTTACATTTCACCCTTGTGAGTTTTATCTCCCATTCTCTCCAGCCTTCTCCCTAGAGACTATGCAAAATAAACTATTACTTGTCACTCATTAGAAGCTTTTAACTTCTGTCACCAAGCTGGTTGCAGAGGAACCTTTTCAAGCACTAATAAGGAAGCAGTGAGAAATCTAGAAAGCTTTATAGATACCAGAAATTGTACCCCCAAGGGATTTCACCTGGCCGGCAGCCCCTGCAGAGCAGGCAGATTGCAGCAGTAGATATTGAAATGGCAGGGAGGAAATCTGAGTTAGACTCCAAAGCTCTTTCCCAAACTCTTTTTCCACCCAGCTCCTCCCCAACTGTCCTAGAATCTCTCCACTTTATGTTAAACAAATACAGCTCAGTCAGATATTAACTCACCTTAACTAGAAGAGAGAGAGAAGGATCAAAAGTCTCTGTTTCTCTAAGCAAGGAACTAAAACCCCAAACAGACCCCTCCTGTTCTGTTCAGCTTATGACCTATCACTGACTTACCTGGACAGGTATGCCTCACCCACCCTACTGTTGACTGCCACCCAATCACAAACTCTCCTCCCAACTTCTCACTCCAGCTGTTCTCAAAAATAAGGAGGGAGGGAGGGGCTTGACATTGGGGTGGGACGAAAGATTTCTTTGCTAATCAAAACTCTGTGCTTCTTGCTGTGACAGCCAATGAGATCAGAGGGTGGAGTACACGTTGTGGCAGCTGGAGAGGGGCTAAGTGTGCAGCAAAAAGGGCTCTTATAGTCAGCTGAGGGAAGGGGGGAGGAAAGAGATCAGTGAACAACTGTAAGTTAAACTAATTTCTCAACTGTCATGAGAAGCTTCTTCGCTGCTCCTAAATTGGGCCATTTTCTCTCCCTTTTCCTTTGTCAATAGCTTAGTGCAACTGAGGTGTGCTGACTGGCTAATTCAGGATGCTTTAGTCCTCTGTCCACAGAACAGGTACAGGTGGGGCAAGCTCCCCATCTCCCTATGCTAACAAAATGCCTCTTGCTTGGACCTAAGGAGGTCAGTTGCAGGCTGACTCAATCCTTTCAGAATGCTGATACTTTGCATGCCTAGAGCAACTTTCATCTGAGGGAAAGCGCTTTATGATCCTTCTCTAATTATGCCTGTGAGAAAGGTACTACCATGACTCTTTTATAGCTGGAGAAACTGAGGCTAAGTGACTCCATGGTAGAGCTAGGAAAAGAACTCTGAAGTCCTGATTCCTTGTCTTTTGCCCCACAGCCCCGGTCAATAGACCCATTGCCTTCCAACTTTGCTGAGACTGACCAGGTATGCCAGTTGCTATGGTGTTTCTTATTGTAAGATCACCTGTCCTCCCTCAACTAGACTGAGACAACCAAGCCACTTCTTACAGGTCACCGAGCAGCCCTTTCATTTCTGCTGCCCCCAATCCCTCTAACTTCCTACCTCTGTCTCAAACATTTTAAATAGGTCTCACAGGAGACACCTTAACCTGGCATCGTGTTTTTCTGCATAGTTAGTGACGTTTGGAGGAGTCAAACTCGTAGCCTTGACCAAAATGCATGTGTACATAGTAATTAGCTCTCTTGTGAGGTGTTTAGTGGTGTGTGGCAGTGAATATATTAGTTCTCAGCAAGTTTATTCTCTTATGTGGTTAAGTAGCTTAGCTTTTACATTCAGTGCAGAAGAGCTTTAATAGGACGATTTTTTTTTCTCAGCTATAAAAGTGTGGATTGCTAGTGAAACAAGCTTGTCTCTATGTATCACTAAAGGCTTCCCAGACTGGACCACCCCTAGAGATATCCTAATAATCTGCACCTCCATTAACCGTCTTTGTAGCAAACCTAGCATCCACAGCAATGAGTTAATGCAATATGTGTTCCTGCTTCCTGACTGTTTTGTGAACCTCGACAGTACTCAAGCAGGGGAAACTTTCCCTCAGCCATATAAGCAACTGATTGCTCTTAGACAAGAGCACCTTCCTCTCAAACTGCTGTAACAGCTGCTGCTGGAGTCAAACAACTCAAGCTGGTAATGCCACTGAAATCAGTGACTTTAATTTGACCTTGTGTATTGACCCTGCCGTGTGCCTTCAACTCCCAGTGACTGCAGCAGGAACAGGATTAGAGCCCGAGGGTCTGATTCTGCCAACTCTTGCTCATGTGAGTAGCCCTGACCTCAGTGGTGTCATTGCTGTGAGTAACAGCTACTCACGTGCATAAGGGCTTGCAGACTCAGTGCAAACCATTCATTGACAAAACTCCCCTGAGTGTAACTTGCAACAGTTACATCAAAGGGGACCTTGGCCCAGTGGGAATTCCTGGGTTAGCCTTGGCACAGTGCATACTGAGAGTCGCTGTGTTGTGTTTTGCAGGAGAGGAAGCAGAGTAAGTGTGTGAGCGCACACACCTCCCATCATGATTCTGCCGTTTTCATTAGCACTTTCTACATATTGCAAAAGGCAAAAAAACCCTATTTACAAATGCCATTAAAGCACTCTTGCAGCAATCACAGATGGTGATGAGCACAGAAATATTTTCCTAACCATTAACTGAATTCAGTGAAACATTAATGAAGCAGCCTTGGAAGGGAGGAAACTAGATTTTTAACATGCTGGAGACCAGGAAAGTGCACAATAAACTGTATGCTGGAATTACCCATTTTATAAGGGGTGGAAATCCTGCTTGCACCTGTGAATAGATCCCAGAACACTTCTTGGAAAGATAACAAAGCTAGTTATGAGTGTTCCACCACTAAAGACACTGCAAGAATTCTGTAAGTGAGGAGGGGGAGCAGTTTCTATATGGCTGGCTGATTTAACATAATTAACCTAGCTCCTCCATTAGCATAAGTTTTTTAAATTTAAGCTCATTAGATCTATTCCTTTTTTACACAATGGCTTGTGTTTGGTTTGCTCCCATGGAGCTGAATTACCAACCCTCCTCACCGTGTGGGGCTGGTCAGCAGGAATTCAGTGCATGGAACATTTTCCGGTTCAGACCCTCTTCTTCTCAAAACTAAGGGTTCACCTCTGTCTCATTGCAGCCTCTTCAGTGGGAGGTTTGAATGTTGAGCCATGGGTCCTGTGCAAAGCTCAATCCTCCTGGCTCCCTCCGCCCATGATACTTTCTCTACATCCCAGGGTTTCACTCCCTCTCCTGCCCAAACACCTTCCACTTCTCATTCAAAGCCACTTGTCATCTGAAGTGACAAGGCATCTCCTTTGGTAGCATCTCCCCCCCTCCCCCCCATGAACAAACATGTCACCTCTGCAGTCTGTCTCCATTAGGCAAAGAGAGAGTCCAGACATTATTTTCAGACTGAGGTATCCCTTGAATCATTCAGCTGGCTCTATGCTGTGCAGTAGGAGCTGTTAAAAGAATAAGAAATGATTTGTCCCTTTCTGCTTCCCTGATTTTAGCATCTGCGGCTACTATTAAAGTTACACCCCTTCTGGTGGGCGAGCAGTGTGGGGCTCATTTCTAATGCTCCACTCACCAAGACAGCTCATATCTGCTCAAGGAGGTTTGCCACATCCAGCCACCAAAAAAATCCAAGCATAACCCCAGCAGCAAACTCCCATCACTCAAATCCACTGGCTGACAGGCTCACTCAGGGATATGAGCTTCAGTTATCAAATAAAGGAGCTGCTCTTATGCCAACATGTATTCCCTTAGCACTACCCTGAATAGTGAGGTGGAAAGGTTATTTAGCCATACAGAGCCATGTAGAAAAAACTAAGGCAAAGGGGAGGCTAGACCAGAGCAGCACTGAGATTCACCTCTCAGCATTTCTAGATCATCCTCCACTCAAATGGGAGAAGGTCTGGGGGTCAGAGAGCAAAGAAGGGGAGCAGTCTCCTAAAGCCATGGATTCAAAAAGAAGGGACACCCCTCTACACTAACACAGTGGATACAGCTTGCTGCCACGTGGCTGAGACCCCAGGGGCAGTTGCAGAGAGTTACCTGGAGGAATTAATGCCATTTCAGCATTAAAACCAGTTGAGAGAACCATGTGGTTATCTCTGGGAAGAGAATCAGGCTGGATGTCAGAGTTGCCTGTATAATTGAGTGGATTTGACATTTATGTTCTTTCTCTGGTATATAATAATTGGTGTTTTATGCATCCATGTTCTTTAAAGATGATCTGTAGAGGAAAGAGTTGTAGCGTTGGTAGTATGGAAGAAAGCTAAGCTTTTGCCCATCTAGCTACCAATTGCTCAGCTAATAAACATGGTCTTGAAAGTTAATATAATTTTAAAAGTACGGGGTGGGATTTTGAAAAGCACTCAGCATTGACCTAACACAGCTCTGATTGAAATAAATGGTAAAACTCCCATTGCCTTCACTGGGAGCAGAGTTAGGCCAACACTGCGTGCTTTTGGAAATGTTTATACATGTTACCATTTCTCTCTTCCCCTAAAACTAAGAGCAATATGTCTATGTTCAAAATATCCTGAGCTGCTTATTTTATTTTGCTGTAAACAGTATCTTGCCTCACCTTGAGCAGAAGATTGTAGCAAAGAGCTGATATTTTTCTTACAATTACTATTATGTAACATTTAATGTTCCTGCATAAACATTCTTGTTGTAAATTCAGGCGCACATGTGCTTGGTGGTATGCTACACAGCTGTAAATATACATTATGCACATGCAGGATTCGTATAGTCTGCAGCAGTGTTGTTCCATACACAGGCACATGAGGGCCACACTTTTCCATATACACTATACAGCCAAAGGACACAAATTAATTGTGGTCCAATCCTGTAGTCATGAAACTTCCACTGACATCTACAGGTGTTCCACCTGCAATATCATACTTGCTTTAAAGTCATTTATTTAAAAAAATCCCTTCACTCTAGTTCTAATATCATATAGCAAATTATATTTAAAAATTTCAGTTATTTGCATTTCACTAATGAATTAATTAGATTTATGTCCCTCTTGTTTATAGTCACTTTCTAGTTAGAGAAATAGGGATTGCCAGCCTGGATAAGTGGATCATTTAGTGCAGTTTGCTGTTACCAAGAGCGGCCATCACCAGATGCTTTAGAGGAAGATGCAAAAAACTCTGTAGTGGACAATCATGGAATAACCTGCCCCTAAGTACAGTTTCTTCCTAATCCCCTTAATTAGAAGGTGGTTTATGGAATTTCTCTTACATTTTGGAGGAAAAAAATTTTTTTAAAATAATTTTACCTTTCAGTAGTGAGCAAAATAGCATTTAGAAAAACAAACTGCTTACAATTCCTCTTTGTTTTGATATTTTTCTTCCAATTATTGTGGGTTTGGTAATAAAATAGAATACACAACAGCTTTCCACAAGCTGCACATTCTCCTTGCTTAATAATTAACAAAAAGGTTCCTTTTGGGGAAGGGGCACAAACATTGACTCTACTAAATCTATAAATATATTTGATATTAATTACCTTTGAATAAAAATGTGACCTATTTTAACACTTGATATGCACGCCCAAAATACAGTCAAATTTGTGGCTCAACCAGTTAAAGTACATTCCGTTTAGGTGATTTGCTCTATGACAAGCTTTTGGCTGGTTCTTGCCTATTTTTCCTCTTGAAGCAGGCAAGTTAAGTAATCAGAAAAACGTATTTACCCATTGCAAGTGCAAATAGAATTTTCTTTTGTAGATATTCCGAGCCATGTGTCCTACTAAATCAGTAGAGGTGTTGATAGCATAAGGACTCAAAATAGTTCTCGCTCCTTGAAAATAGAACCCTCGCAGCCTGATACCCTCTGTGTGAATTAAACACATCATAGCATCTATTAATTTAGGTCCTGATCTGCAAGGGGCCTAGCACTCTTACCTCCCGCTAAAGTATCAAGTGCGCAGCACCCCTAAGGAGTAGGCCTAAAAAAAGACCCTTTTTGACTGCACAGAAACTAAAGACCCTATCCATGAGCATTAGTGAGAACCTGAGTTGTTTTTCATGTCCTTCCTCCAACAATACAGGCAGGGGCAATCGAAAGCTGTGCCTAATTTTATACATACAGTATGAAGCACACACAATGACATAGGCAAATACCCCGCTCCCAACACAAAAGGACTTTGGACATGTTAACAGGTTCAGTGTACCTCACCCTGTTAATACAAATAATTCATCTGAAACCTCGTCAATAAGATATCTTACCAGGCTGGGCTAGTCACCTACATGTAGTGCTATTTCCACTTTTCTCCTGTGAACTGAATACAGTTCAGTACCAACAAACCAATTAATTAGGCAAAATGCTAATTAACAGATAGCATTTATATAGCACTTCACATTTTCAAAATATGTTATGCTACTGAACCTTAACATGGCTGTGAGATAGTGAAGTTCCCCCATTTTACAGAAGGAATAAAATGAGGCAGAGAACTTAAGTGATTTGCCCATGGTCAGAAGTAGTGAGAATTAGAGATACAGTTAGAACTCAAGGGTTGACTTCCAGCACAAAGTTACAGTACGATCTCTTCCCCCTCTTATTTTCCTGTAGTACAAAGGACACTGCAGCGATTGTCAAGCTGGGAAGATGTAAGTTTAACAACTACTTGGTTGCCAGTCATTCATTACAAATAGCTTCATGGTGCTTGGAATCAGAGTAAAAACGCAGTGATTTCCCCACCCCTCCACTGTTGTTTTACTTCACTCAATCCAAGCCAGAACAGGAAGGTAATAGTGAAAACTGGAGGCCCAATCTCATTTAAAACTGAAAGGATGACAGATTGCTTACATTTAAGGTGTAGCTACAATTTTCAAGTTATGTCCTGTTAAAAAGGGCAATGCAGCTTTTAGTAATACATTGTACAAAACTAGAAGTGCGTTTCTGAAAACAAACATTTAAGTAAGTCACGGAATGACAATTATGCTAGAAATAGAAGCTAGTTCCCAACGTTTTGTGGGGCAGCTAACTGCTTAGGATGTTCAGTCAACATGGACTTAATTTTGATAGGCAATACAATCCTTGCTGCAAAAATATAGTAATGTGTGAGGAAATGTTTTGATCATCACGAGCATATCACTCTGCCCCACACATACCATTTTGTGTATGTACTTCATTTTCAGGACAATGTAGGCAGTCAACTAGAGAAATATAGTACCAGACTCTTTAATGGGTTTTAGTGCAAATTTCACTTTCAACACATGAAGGACAGCACTTAACTGATTTCTGCTGCAAGGAAAAGAAGGCTGCTTACAAAACCCCCTGGCACGGGACAGATTCCCCTATAGGGTTTACCAAAGCCAACTGAAATGAGTTAAAACTGCAACTGCCTTGTCTTCACAAGCTTCGTAATATGTGGTTAGTTTAACATGGGTTACACATACCTTTTCTCCTACTGAAGACAAGGCCATGTAAGAACATATGTAGTTCTGGATGCTCATTAGTGTTAAACTATCTGTTTACCAAGGGGAGAATAGGTGCCCTAATACAGATGCAGTTCAAAATTTAGTAACTCCCCCCCCTTCCCCTGCTGGTATTCGTTCATCTTAAGTGATCGCTCTCCTTACAGTGTGTATGATCTCTGTTTATATAAATCTCCCAACTGTATTTTCCACTGAATGCATCCAATGAAGTGAGCTGTAGCCAACGAAAGCTCATGCTCAAATAAATTGGTTAGTCTCTAAGGTGCCACAAGTACTCCTTTTCTTTTTCCTAGTACTTGTCATTCAGATCCTGATTTGGGTGGAGAAGATGGGATTTTTACTTGTCAAACTACAGGACTCAGGTGGGGTAAACAATCTTGCAAATTTATTAGTTCAGATAGACTGAGCACAGACTATTCATCATTCATATGCATAAAATTTACAAATTGAATAGGAAGATGCGTTAACACCGCCCTCTGGTGTTAAGAAATGAGAAATACATTGAGTGCATGAAATTGACCAAGTATGCTGATGCTTTAGAAAATAGACCTCATTGTACAAAAACCCATGTAATAGTTCTACAGTTATACCATTGTTTTTGTACACCAAGCAACCAGTGAAAATCTTATGCAGAAGACAAATGGTTTACCCAACACATTGTTCACTTTATTTTTCCCACTATAAACAACGTGAATATACAGCATCATACAGATTTAAAAGTAAAATAATGCAATGTTCAAAATGGCAAATTCAAAAGGCTTCAGATGTACAAGTTGCCTTTTGTATAGTCCTCACAGGAATGGCATACTGAATGAAAACGCTGGAAAATACGATTGGACAAATATGCCACAAGTAATGACAGGATTCTGATGTGAACTTGTGTGCATAGTAGACTCAAGTTACTAACACGGTATTTTGTGACACCAAAAGCCTCCTTTTCTGTCTCTTGCCATCTGGGACAGCTTTCCTCTCTTTAGCTTCTGACAACCATGCCCTTCTACCTTAACTACATCCCATGCGCCTTTCAGTAGTATTCTGAATTTGCTAAAGGTTACATTGTCTAATCGGGCTGGTAAGAAGTATTCTATTTTTTAAATTTAACTACGATATATTAAATCTCTTGCAATCAAGAGTGGGAAACAATTATACAGTTTTGTCCTTTCGTATATGACAAACTCCAGTGTGGTGTAGTGCTTCATGCATGCACAGTATGCTTCAGACAACTTTGTCTGCAGCATTTACCACGGCACAATATAGCAACAGGAGGTGAAACACCTCCATTAAAGTCAAAGACAAAACTTGCATTGCCTTCACTGAAGGTATGACATCACCCCATGGTTTTTGCACGCATCCGTTTCTCAGCCTTATGCACAAGAGAAGACTCTGCCAGGTCTTTTGATTCTTGTCCAAAACAAACTCCTTTTAAAGTATCAAAGCTAACAGTCTGTAACTAGCACACTAAAGATTGTGCAAAGTCACTTCATTTAGTCAAGTGCTTTTTGAACTGAAGTGCTTAAAAAAAAGTACATGGTTAACAGAGGTGGGTAACAACAAAGCTACACTGTAACAACTCCTGTACCTTTTTTTTTTGTCCACAGTAATTTTAATCATCCATTTCTTAACCCAAGGCAGACAGGATAAGGTGTTAGCAGGGAAGATGGGCTGTCCCATTTCTTAGATGGAGTGTCTCAAAAGCAGGATAAAGGGCTTCTAGTCCATTTCTAATGCCTTTTAATTCTACACAGCAGGCCTCTAGTCAGCAAGTACCTACTGAAACAGGTAATAGCCCCATACTTGGGAACTTCTTTCATGTGCCTAGCTAATCTGAGAAACATATGGGAGTCACCTCTTAAGTTTGCACACCTTTCTTGAGGGTGAGAGCCTTTGGAGATCCAGTGAGTTTTATAAGAAGGGGATCTGAAGGTGGAAGCTTGGAAAATGTTTTACAGAATGAATTTACATAAATCTAGTGCTGTTGAAAAATGCTTCATAGAAAGTGCTCCTTAGTGAATTCGATGCATTTTCCATTTACATTACAAAAGATATCATGCAGTATTTATAGAGTCCAAGTTTCAAAAGTTAATCTAATTGCTCTTCCAAACCCCTGGCTGAGACTATATTAAATGCACTTCCATTTAGAAGTGATTTATTTTTCATACACTGAAAAACAATTTTACATTGTTGAATGTCACACTTCAATGGATCTTACAAGAATGCGATAGTGTTTTGACTGTCTCAAAACTCTACTTGTCCATGAATTCTACAGAAAAGCTACATTACAAGCACTTATTTGCCTTTGGAACTAGCTAACTGTAAGGGGCCAGGTGTGTGTTAGTGGCTTGTGAAGACTAATTCATGCTCCATTCACTTATTCAGGTTTTTCCACCACTATAACTAAACCCCAAGACCTGAGCCACAAATGAACACTACATCAAAAATACGCATGCATAAATCACATTTTTATTGGTGCAATATTGAGTTTTGCAATATAGGGCACATTGAAAGAAATATACTTAAAAATAACCTGTGCTAATGATAAAACAGGATGTTATGTCACTGGAATACATAGGTATGCTTTTAGTATCAAGATTTTTAGAAATTGTTCACTGTCAGTTATTTTACTGCAACACCACACCTACTTCAGGCTAGGTCCCTGCAAAACACTGCTAAACATGTAAACTTTGACAAGCTTTTAAAGTGCTGTGAAAATCATGAGATGTGCGTTTCTTCATGCAATATAAAATGTTTGTGAAAGGCCACATGATTAGAGTAGGTTAAGCTTCTTTCCTCCCTTCTTCAGGAAAAGGAATTGAGTGCTGGTGAAAAGGGCCAGACTGGCAACTTGGAAGCTGAAGTCCTCTAATTTAATCAGAGAAGTAGTCCCGCACAGGCCAGCTTCAAAAGGATACTAATGTTCAACCTTGACAAAGGAATCTTCCTCTGGGGTAGGAAGTTCAGTCTCCATGGCCCATTCAATCCCTAGTCTCAGCTGAAACATTGAAATTAGTTCAATTCCATTGAAACACATGGAAATTAGTGCTAATAATATTTTGGGGAAGTTGTAAGGACATCAGTCCACATCTGATGGTATTTTGGGGTCATTATGGACAGATGACAAGCTTCATTGCCAAATGCATTACCTGAGCTTCAGTTCCATGCTGTCTTGAACAACTAAGTTTATAAAGTGTCCACAATTAGTATCTTGGAGCTAAAAGTAGTAATGCTTCAGTACAACTCAATTAAGAGAGGTGTTGAAAAAGTCACAGGTTGATTCCTAAGATAAGGAAATCACTCATATTTCCATGTCTCTACTGTAAAAAGGGCACACAGATGCTAGTAGAATCAGCTATAATGAAGCTAGCACAAATTTATAAGATCTTACCGTAAGAGAAAACAAGTGAAGTTGCTTTTTCAAATATATATATTTTAGTTTACCCCCCCCCAGAAAATTTAGATTTTCTGCTTGGGAGGAAGGTAACTGACCACTTTCCAGCTCTCAATTTAGATTCTGTAAATGACTCTGCTCTTTGTTAAAATTCAACATCTTAATTTTTCTAAGTTAATTGTTACTTGTTCAGATATTTTTAGTGTATTACAGCAGTTCAGTGGCGATTTCAGACTGAAATCCATCTGATTTTCTAAGTAACTAAAAACACATTCAAGCAATGAGAATGAATCTCTGCTATATTGTGTTTAATGCAAGTGTCAATTAAATAAAGGAGACTTTTTTTTTTTAAGTATTAGAACAGGGCAAACACTTGTGACCATGCTATCCACTTCAGAGATCCATTGCAGATAAAAGTTTGGACTCTGTTACAACATATGCAAAGATTTATGAAGTCTTGTATTGCAGATTCCAGAGCACAAAACTAAAGGATTTTGCAAAAGCCAAAAACCAGTTTACTGACATGGCACACAATAGTACTTCGCAATTACGTAGCATCTTTCATCCAAGCACTTTACACACATCAATCCATTAGCCTCAATACCTCCGTGAGGTAGATATTATACCCATTTTATTGATGAATATACAGACTGAGGTGTAGCAATTTGTCCAGGGTGTGTCACCCATTCACTGACACAGTTGGGAATATAATGTAGGAGTGACAGTCCCTTGATGTAGTTACTAACCCAAATTCCATCTCAAGTATTTATAATCCAGTATCTTTCATGTTCTGTTGAACTACTGTCTCATTACATTAGCTTTAAGCATCTGCTTCCAGTCAAGCATTAAAAACAGTTTAAAACAAGACTAAAAGCTAAGTGGGCTTAACACTGGCAGCTAACTTGATTTCTGTAACAAACTCATGAGTGCAATGTAATTAATACCAAGTAAAAATTCTGGTCCGTTATACTCTTGGTAATTATACTATTTATATACTACTTTGTTTAGGCCTTAATCCAGCAAGACACCTATGCACATGTAACTATGAGCACATTCCTAGTTCCACTGAGGGTCCACAGAATAATCCCTACGCTTAGATATGCATGAGGGCTCCAATTCAGAAAATTACTTAAGCAGGTGCTTAAGGGGGCTTTCCTGAATCAGGGTTTTAGCTAGGATAGCCTTAGTAACTGGTGTTTGTCTTTGAATAACTAGAAGTTTCCATTCCCGAACCTGACACATTACTACTACATTATGAAGATCTGTATGTTTGTTCCCCATTTGCACAAACATTCAGCAGGTATTTCAGACCCAAACAAAAGTAAGAAAACATGGCTAAAAGAGTTTAAATGCCTTAACATACACATTGAGGCATTCTAAAAAATAATTTCAGTAATATGCACATCTACTGCATCTTTAATTTAGATCTCAAAGCACGCTACATTAAGCCTCACAATCCCCCATAAGGCGAGATTTCTTTATTGTACCAGTTTTGACATCCCTGCTTTTGTCATTTCAGAAGTAAAGCATTTTACCTAGCTTATTTTGTTATGAAAAACTGCTCCATTCCTTATTAGAATAGAGGTCTTGCTACTTAATCACTGGAGAGAAATCAAGCAAGCTAACGGGCATTGGCAGAATGCAAACGAAGAAACTTCAAGTTTTTCCCTTTTGGATAAATGCTCTGACCTTCTGAAAAAAGAACAAGCCTTTGACCTGTAAAAAAATGAGAACCAAAGATTAAAAAGTGTTAACACAATATTTGGAGCCTGGTACAGCTTAACACTTTCCGTGGGCACAAGATCAGCCACATTTTAGCAAAACTAGATTTTAATGTTTAACCAATATGATCTGTAATTTGAATCTGAACTACTGTAATTCCTTCTTGCTGGAATTGAGATCATATTGTTACTGAGGATCCAAGTATTTCAAGAAACATGCCAACATCCGGATGCAGTGTAAACAGAGGGGTTGACAGTTAATTTTCAAGCAACTAAACTACATTTCAAGTAATATCTATGGAAAAATATTAAGTTTATTGGGTATTTAACTCTACTCATTAATTTTAAAAAAGCTTTCAGTACAGCCACTATCAGACTGTACATTCTACTTTTGTTCATTCTGACCTAAAGCAGCAGGGCAACTTTGGTGTTACCTTTTCTATATGAAGTATGCACTGTAGGCATCTCTGCTGCAAAAATCGCCTGAATGTATAAGAGTTACTATGTAACTCATCATACAAAATGCTGATAGGCTCATGAATATGCTAAACTGTAGGACCAGTTTAGAAGTATTGAAAGATAACTAAACCCAATAATTCAGAGTTTAGATTTCAGCTGTGTTACTCTAAGTCTATTTAACTCTAGGTACAGTATTGTGTGTATGTCCAGCCATGTCACACAGCAGCTTCTCCATCAGAAAATAAGGTTCTTCAGGAGTCAGGACTTTTAGCTGCTAACATACAACAAACAGCTGCCAGTTACTTTAAAAATCAGCATGCAAGTTACCTATTTCAAACTAGTTGGGAAGAGAGGTATGCAGTAGTGACACTATCTGTAAACCTGCACACTAACCATAACAAACCTGTGCGTCTCAATCATTAAGTTAAGAGGGCTTTTCAAGCTTTGTGGAGGGAGTTTTTTATGCTTACATACAGCTTATCTGAAAACCCAGAATCTTATTCTGGAGCAGTGAGGTAGTAGATGTAACCATCCTCATGTAGATGTCACACTTCTCCAAAGTTCGCATGCCCAGTCTCCTTGGCATGTTCTCTGGCTTCCACTTGTCCAGTTAGACCCTTCTGGCACACCATGCATCTTAGTGTAAAGCGATTTACATCCGTAAACTGCCTCTTTCGTCTGGCTTCATCCGCTAATTCCAATGCTTGTGCAAGAACAACATCATCATTTGTTGAGAAAATGGTCAGGGGAGGGATGTCTGAGTCAGGGATTTTACGTTCAAGTGGATCATAATGAATCCCATCATAAATCAGAAGGACCCGCCTAGCATAGCCAGCATCTTCCCCAAAACGGTCAATTCTGACTGTCTGTGTATCAACTACACAGATTTCACACTGATAAAACTTAGACAGAATGGATACTTCGATGGCTCCTCCCCACGTATCTTCTCTTCTGATCCACTCACAATACTCTTCATTGGTTTTCCCTAGTACTGCCTCACAATAGGACTCTGGATCACTTGCCACTATCTGGGCTATAAGACTGCGCATCTCCGGAGCACATGCTGGATCATAAATGCCTCCCTCTACCACATAGAATATGCTTGTGAAGAGACAGGAGTTATCTGCTGGAACAACCCTCCTTGCAAGTACAGGCAGTGCTTCCCTGACCAAAGTAGAGACACTCCTTTTTGCAACTACAGGTGACTCAGTCTTGGGTTTGGTCATGTCCTCTTCAACTATTAGAGTATCACCTGTCAAAAATAAAGAATCAAGAATTGTGAGGACTAGGAAGATGAAATGCAGCGTTGATTCACCAAAGTGCACTACAAATAGAAAGGAAAAACTGCAAATACAGAGAAGCAAATCATTTAAAGTCTCCAGTATATCATGCCTCAGTTCTCTGACAGAATCAGATCACCATAATAGAAAGCATTACAGATTAAATAAATTACATAAGAAGCCACAGCATGATGCACAAGATAATGGTAGGTTTGGGATATCACTGTATATTGCTGGTTCAGATAAAGACACAGGGTTTGTACTGGAGTCTCCAAATTAGCACAGAGGTTAATGTTTTCAAGTTTACTGTCTAAATCTGGAAGATGAGTGATACTCAATCCCTTTCATTTTAGGGTCTCTTGAAAACCTACTTTAGAGACAGTGAAATAGAAGATGTTTACATTTACAGATGCTGATAAACAGGTTCAACAGTCACCGACAGCACTATTTTGCAATCAATTTTTTATTAAAGGGTGGTAGCCCCAATGTCTCAACCAAGTTTCGGGTAAGGTAATTATAATCTGCTGAAATGCAGTTTCAGTTAGGTATGGCATTCTTTTGCTCTTCTTGTCTTCAGCTGTGGACCACCACTGTATGCTGTAGAAAATTAATGTTGTCTTTAAACATCTATTGCCTTTTACACCAGAGAGACTCACGGCTTTTGCTATACGTTCTTTACACTGTGTTGAAGCAGGCTCATAAGGTTTTAATATTTGCAGAGGAAATGAAATAAGCCACGCAAAGGAAATGCATACTAAGCCATAGCAATTTCAGGGAGTCATGAGCATGATCAGAGGAGTTCAGAGGGACAACCTGAACATACTTTTAACCCTACAGTCTCGACAACATCCGTTCTAGAATTCAAGTGTCAAAAACCACATACTTCTATGCGCAGTCCTCTCCCCTCCACCCATCTTGTCCTCGAGGGCTCAAGAGGCAGAAAGAGCAGACCCAGGCCAAGGACCCCCTCCTCAGACCAGCTGTGCCCGGCGGGGCACACAGCACCCTCCCTGCACTTTGGGACTCACCCCCGCGAAAGCTGGCTTCGGCCTTTAGGGACCACTCCCACCACCCACCCCGCGCCCGAGGGAGGACAGAGGAGAGGAGGCGCTGCCCCGCAGCCTGGCCCCCCCGCCGGCGAGCTGCCCCGCCCACGATGGGGGCGCCCAGGAGCCCCCCAGGCTCAGGCCTGTCACCTGAGCCCGGGCAGCGGCAGCCCCCCGGCCCCGCCCGCCAGGGAAGCGGCAGTCCCCACGCCCCTCACCTGAGTGGATGCCGAGCTCCCCCAGCCGCCGCTCCCCGTCGCTCAGGTCCAGGCTCCGCGGGGGGAAGCCGAGGAGGAGGCGCTGGGCCGGGGCGGGCACCCCGGTGAGGGCGGCCAGGGCGGCCTGCAGCTCCCGGAGGCGGGAATGCGCCGTGAGGCCGGGCAGCGGGTGGGAGCCGCTCCGGGCCTTGCAGCGCAGCCGCAGCATCCTCCCTCAGGCCGCGGCCTCCCGGCTCTGCGGCCCGAGCAAAATGGCCGGGGCGGCTGCCCCGCCACGTCTCGCGACGCTTCCGCCCTGGCTCGCTATTGGCCGGGCGCCCGGCCCCCCCCCACCCCCGCAACCTGCGGGCGCTCCCGGCGCGCCCGCGGCGCAGCCAATCCGCAGCTTGGGGCGGAACGCTCGAGACGCCCTTTCTGCCGTCACACGCCCACGAGGACCCTCACGGGCGAGGGGGACACGTGACCGCGCTCTGCCTCCCAGCGGTCAAGGTGGACGAGCAGCGGGTGGGCTCCGGCCTCACCTCGTTTGCATCCGATGGGCATACCAGAAGTACCTGCTCTGGTCTTCCGCCGCCGTTCACCGCAAAACACGGGAGCGGGCTGAGCTCATTTACATGCTGTGTGTCTGCGGGCCCATCTGCATCTCATTTGCACCCTCTGCCGCTGGGCCGTGTGCAGGTCTAGGCCTAGTCCAACTGTTCGTGTTCGTTTGCCCCCCCCCCCCCCCTCCTCTCCTCGCGCCCTTGGGGCCGCGGGTCTCCCCCCTGCGCGTCCTTGCCCAGCAGGGCTGCCGCGCGGCGTCGTGGTGACGTGGGCGCCTCATTAGCATGCCGTTTGCCTCTCGGTCCCGGTCCGCCGGCTGGCGGAGTCACCTGGGCGGCGCGCGGGGCGGCGCGCGGGCTCCTGCTGCAGTGCGGGGTGGCGCGAGCCGCCTGCTGCGCCCCGGCCCCTGCGGCTGCGGGAGGCTCCTGGCCGGTCCTGGAGGCTCGCCGCGCTTGGCAGGTGCCGCCGCCGGCTGGCTTCCCGCCCCTTCCCGGTAAGTCTCAGCGCGGAACCCGGTCCCGGGCTCGGGCTGAAGAAGGCGCGGGGCGGGTTGCGCCTCAGTTTCCCCCGCGCTGCAAGCGGGTGTGTCTGGGGGGCTCTGCTGCAGGGCGGCACCCGGTGAAGGGCAGAAATCCTGGAGCGGGGCTTGCGAGTGCCTGGCTAGGAGACCTGCCCCCTGTTCAGAGGATGCGGTCAAGCCAGCGGGGATTATTTCCCAGCCGGGGCATCTCGGGGACTGGCCCCCTAACGCAGTGCCTAGGCAGCTGCGTAATGACTTTGGGAGGTTGGGGGAAGGCTGTTCCTTTATATTTGTAATGACTGACGCGCAAGGGGCAAAAGTAGGTGCGCTCCCTAGTTCCTCCCCTTCTGTTCCCGGGCTGCGATGATGCATTAATGCCCCAGCCGAGGGGTGTGTTTTTTTCCTCCTCTCCTTCATTTTTCTGTGCTTTGCGTTATCTTGTATCAACTATATATGTTACGAGCCGCTGTTGACCTTGGACGACTGCGCTGAGACTGTTCTATGGCTTCCTTTCCCTCCCACCAGGAACGGCCCAGATAAGCTGCTCTGCGTCTTCTTGTATCCTGCCTACCGGATTTCATAAGGATTTGTTTCTTGGTTCTTCTTTTCTTTTCCAAGAGCCTGAAGGTGCGACACTGACCCAGTGTGTGATTAGCAGCAATGTCAGGACATAGAGCATTAGTTCCAGAGCAAAACAACAGCAGCAGCAGCAGCAGCCAGGAAAACAAAACTTCAAATATGCGAGTCTCAGAAAAAAAGTGCTGTGAGTATTTGTGACAGTCTTGAGGAAAGTAGATCTTGCGTCTAGTAATTAATTTCTTTTACCTCTTTTATAAAAAGAGGTAGTCAGTCAGTTCTGTTTTATTGCTTCTAGCTCAGTGCAGTAGTAAAGACAAATACAATTTCATCCTTAGTGCAGCTCTATAGACTTCGGTGGCATTACGCCAGGAATGAATTTAGGCCTATCCAGAATCCTGAAATGAGCTGCATGTGAGTGCAGGAGCTTTTTTTTTGTTTTGTTTTGTTTTGTTTTTAAAATCCTCCTAACATGCACCACTTTTGTTTTTAAGTCTTTAACATAAACGTCTTGAATGATTTTACTTTTTCTGACTCCATAGCTGAATTGCATCCCCCATGCAACCCTCATTACAACAGTGGCAGTGCTGGCTTCCCCCATGCAACCTCCTCAAAGGGCTTCAGCTCTGATTTGGAGGGCTGCTCAACCGTAACGTGTTTTTATGATGTCCACTTGGAACCGAGATCCCCAGAAATAATTCCATGTCGGCTCCTAAAGTAGTACTTCACGGGCTTATAACTGTTTACAATTCTTGTTTGTATCACTTCTATCCAGTTATGTTTGTTACATGTTTTGCTCTTTTGGGCAAATGTTTACCTTGCAAAACGTTATTCACTTGAAATTCAGCTGTTTAAAAAGGAAATCTGTTTTAATGTAGATTGGAGTTCTAATGTAATCTCTGTTCCTGAAAGCTGCCCACATGTACTAGGCAACAAGTAGCACAACTGTACTGAACGGTGGTTTAAAATAGCCCACCATGAAACGTTCCATATTTCCATCTAATGTGCTTCATCAGGCAGTGATCTGGGCATGTTACATCTGTGATATGTTGAGCTGATGCCAAACCTAGTGTCTACCAATCTCCATTTAACTCTTTTAACCTAGCCCTTCCAGTCTTCTGTTGTCATAGGCCAGGAACAGATTTCAGCAAAGAATCCCAAAGGTATTTGCTCAGTAGGAAGGACGCGCACACACACAATACTATGATTTAGGGCTGCATAATCACCAGAGATCTGTTTTGATTTTTACTGCTTTCCAAGTATCTCTCCCCCATTGATTTTCACTCCCATTGAATATCTTTATTAGGGATTACTTTTTCTCCACATGTACAAGTTGCACTTATACAGATTACACCCATTTTGTTATTTCCTGCTTATATATCCAACCATTTTGGGTCCCATAACACAGTGTGTTTACTGATGTTTCAAAACCTCCCAGTCTAGGTCACTCTGGGAATTTAAATGTTTACCTCTTCCTCCAGATTCTTTTTAAAGCTATTTAAAGGAACATCATCAATTTAAAGGTTGTGCTTGTGTTTGACAATGTTTTACCTATAATTGTTGCAAGTAATCCTTAAAATGACTATGACTAAAAGAGACTGGGGTGGGGGGGGAAATATTTATTTTTTCCCATTTGCTTATTTTGTGCATTTGAAAAGCACTTGGTACAGATGGCTTCCCCAAAGTCAGTTTCCCTGTTGTTTTGTGCACAGCAACAAGTGAAAGAATAACTGCACTAATAATAGACAAATATGGCTATAAAACTACAAAAAATTGGCATGGGGGCTTGGGGTCAAGTGTCGTGCACAGATATACGTTTAACAGAGTCTTTGAAACTGACTAAATTTACAAGCTGGCAAAGCTCAGTCAGTATTGCAGTTAGATTTGCATTTTATCTTGTGTGGCAAAACCAGCTCATCAGGCCATTTAGTTATGGAAAAGACTTGAAATCCTATCTTGTCCATTCAGTTTATATTCACTTGCTCTGACCAGTTTAATTATGGCAACACATGCTACCATATCCCTGTCTATAATCAGTATCTTTCATGTAGTTCTATAAAATTGAAAGTTTTACTTAATTAGTGGATTAATTAATGCTTCTGTTGCTTTTGGGAAAGCTTTTATGCAAAAACAAATAGTCAAAAAATCCTGCTTCTCAGCAACAGGCTCAACGTTACTAATTTAGTTTCTCAGATCATTTGTTGAGTATGTTAGGGAAGGAAATTAGCTTCCTGTCTGCTATCAGTAGAGAAATATGATCTCTTTCATTAAAGAATTTTTCCTATGTCCTTGACAGTTACTGCTTAATAGTTAAATATTTTTAACTCTGACTGACGTATTTTGGCTGACACTTCAGTCACACGTTATTTTCCCTGTTCCCGGTGGCTGATCAGTCATTAACCTACTTCATTAGCTGACACCTGAGACAGCCATGCTGTGGTCCAGTGATTGCTATTAACATTTAATTGGATGGAAGGGCATGATAATGAATCCACTGTGTGTTTCCTACAGTAAGTAACCTTTTGTGTGGCTGGTTGATGAGCAGAGGCAGTGAGTTACGCCAGAGGTGAATTTGGCTTCAGACTTGGTTTTTGTTCTAAGCTGTTTTAATTAATTTAATGATTTCACCTCCTCTTCTTTGCAGCATGGGCTTCTTATATGACCAACTCTCCTACTTTGATTGTAATGATTGGCCTTCCTGCCCGGGGCAAGACTTATATGTCCAAGAAATTAACACGCTACCTCAACTGGATTGGCGTGCCTACGAAAGGTCAGTATGGATTTTTGTACATGGTAGCCGAAAGTGATGGATGGGTCACGGAGCTGGCAATGAGACATTTGTTTTAATCCAGCCCAGGTTTACAGTCACTGAGAGTTGTCAGAACTTGATAGCTACTTTATGATAGCTTCAGTGTTTTCCCAGGTGAACAAGAGTCTACAGCATAAAACCTTATTGGTAGTGCTAACAAAGAGCCCAAAGATTCAATTATCCATAGCAACTGAATTCCACTTGACCCCTTAGAGGTGGTTTCTCCAGGCAGATTGGCAAGGGTCAGTATGTCAGGGAAGCTTTCACTAGTGTTACTCAAGCTGTATCTATTCTGTGCTCAGAGAGGGAACATCATCCCTGTGCCGAGGGCCAGCACAAAACCTGTGCATTACTTAAGTCCTCAAAGTAGGTCTTTATGGACCCTTGTGCTGGCCCTCTGCACGGGGGTGAATTTCACTCAGAGGCGTTTGGTTTCCAGGGCTGCCAATTTGGTATGTTTTGTGTGAACTAAATTCTTCTTTAACAAAGTGCATGAGATATTATAAAGCCCCTTCTACTTGACTTGGGTCTCTTTTCCTTTCAGTGAGTGCATGTAATCCTGCTTAATAGGAATAGGGATTGCACATGAATACACTGATAACTAGGAAGATAGTTATCACAAATGTGGATTAATTTGAGGAGATCTGGGAAAAAGTACACAAAGAAAATCAGAGATTCTGAAATTCTATGAAGAAAAGGAGTACTTGTGGCACCTTAGAGACTAACCAATTTATTTGAGCATGAGCTTTCGTGAGCTACAGCTCACTTCATCCGATTCAACTCGATGAAGTGAGCTGTAGCTCGCGAAAGCTCATGCTCAAATA